CCTTTAGGCCACCACTTGTATTGTTAATTCAGAAGGAGCACAACAGTGAAAATTATGCAGTTTATAGTCCTAGGCTAAGTGCTTGTATCACCCCAAGCAGACATGTAATTAAGAAAGTTAATGGAGCAACAAATTTTATTCACTTTTATTAGGGAATATACATATATAGAAAAGGTAGAAAGGTAAATAAAATCCTGTTATACAGGGAACTGGCAAAAATTCCACTAACCACAGAGACAGTGGAATTGGATTCTAAATTAATCCCCCAGCAAAGACAGGACAGGAGACATCTTTTATATTAAACTGATATTATTTTTACATATAAATTAAATTTTAAAAGGTATTTTTCAAAGCACTGATCTGTGCTAAAGTTAGCAAGAGCTTATGACCTCCAGCTATTTTATTGTACCATTCACTGGACTAAAAAAAAAAATTCCTAACCATAGCCAAGCATCATAGCTGCTATAACTAGTGGAACCAGACTAAATCCACTACTAATTACACCCATCTCCCCTCTATACACAGAAGATATGAATATGGAGAAAAGTAGAAAAATTATTTTCTCAGGTATGCGCTTCCAGAGTAGCCACAGGCAACATAGTATTGAGGGAAAGCTAGCTTCAGATTACTTTGCTGTAAGCAAAATACTTTCTCTTTATTAAAATTAACTATGATGCTTAACCTTTTCAGAAATGTATGATGTGTTTGGATAATCAGACACCAATATAGAAGTATTAAATAATAGGGCTAAATTCAAGCCATAACCAATTTCCTTCTATTCTCATGCTTCACATCATAACCTTTTAATTTATCTTACACTACAATGTAAATGTTAAGAATATTTAATTTATCATCTAAAATCCTTTAAAACTTTAGCAACACCAATGACAAACTATTCAGTTACTGTACTTTGTATGTATGTTGTATCCCTTTTCTCGTGCTTTGTCCGTATTTTGTCTTATTAAAATATTTGTTTCGGGGTGAGGAGACTTGTTTTCTTTAAGGCATCATACCACCTTTAATTTTATTTTACAGAGTTCATGATTAAATTCAATTGACTGGTACTAGGAGAAAAGATCTTTCATCTTTAGTCCACCATTGTATATTAACAATGTACAGTGACAGTATACTAAAAAGTGAATTGGTTTCTCATAATATAGTTTACTAGTTTCCTTGATTCAACAGCATCTTCTCCTTTACATCTAACTGGTCACAGAAGCTTCTCATGTAAAACATATGCTGTAGATAGCTCCATAATGGAAAGAAAAGGAAAAATGTGAGATCTGATGAAATACGTTGAAGGTTTTGCTTATACTTCCAGGTAATATATACATGGTGCACATTTTGCTTGATGTTGCTATGTTTAGTTTTGCTGTGAAGTCTCTAATTATCCCTAAAGTAACTAGTTCCATTGTTAACACTGTGAAATAAAATAAAATAAAATCCATGCTTTTCTCCACATATAACTATGATTATTACCCTTTAAGGAAAAAGATATTTTAATAGTGTTTAAATAATTTGTGCAAAGAAGAAGATGAGTAATACAAATAATTCTTTTTATATATAACACTCACTATAAGTCAGTCATTTAGTCCTTATTCTCATGAGCAGTCCTAAATCAATGAAATAAGAAACAAACTCGTAGAAATAAAGGTTGCAAGTTCAAATTGTTTATCTGGAAATTCTTGGGTAAGGACTGAAAACATAGCATCTCCCCAGAGATGATAAAAGGAAAACTATATCAGGAGATAACAGTACTTTCTATCTGGGAGGGGGAGGGGGAGATGAAGCAGCTAGCTACAAAGTGACCTTTTCAAGGCTACAGCTGACTCCCTCTGCAAATTTTAAAGGGCTAGTCCCCTGAACAGCATGCTGGCAAGACCATTCTATAACAGGACAACTGGAGAGAGTTAGTAGGGAACAGATAATCATAAGAAGAGGACCACTTGGAACAGGGATTGTAGAGACACATCATGGTTTAATCATATGGGGAAGTCTTTTGTTACCATAATTTTAGAAATTATAATGCCATATATAATTTTAAATACTAACTATTTATATCTATTCATATCAGTAACACCATAGCAAAATGGCATTTAAACCTAGGTGCTTTAGTCTTGGATTTAGGTTTCTAAGTTGAAGGTTTGATTCCACTGGGATTCATAAAACTCCCACTATACCCTGCAAGGGCCTAAACTCACTTGGCACCTAAGTTTCTGGGGAAAAGTTTCCTAGGTGACTATGTATCTGCCACTGGGCATGTGTACCACTGCCTTCTTCTAGTATCTGATCACTTACTTCCCTGTCTAAACTCCAGAGCAATTCACAAGCCAGGGGAAGATAGGCCTTTGGCTATCTAAATCACATGCAGGACTCTGTCTGGTAGGCAAGCTTAGAGGCTGTAATTAGAGGCTGCTGCAAAATAACATAGTCTACATCTAGACACAAGCAGTTATTTCGACATAATGTCAAAATAATGTCCAGCTAGAGGACTTGTTACTCCAACTCCTGTAACCTGTATTTTACGAGGATTAAGGGAACGGTGAGAAAGAGTGCTCTTTCTTGGACTTACTGCTGTGTAAACAGCACCAAAAGCTGAAATGAGCTATTTCCACTTACAGGCAGTCCCCGGGTTACGTCGGTCCAACTTACGTCGGACCCCTAGTTACGAACCGGGGGGGCCCCGCTAGTGCGGGGTGCCTCCCCCACTGTCACCGCCTCCGGCGGGGGGGGGGTGCTTCCCCCCAGCAGACCAGGGAGAC